TCTTAAACTGACGGCATATTGACGCCAAATACTGACATTTATTCATCAGGTATGGCAACCAAAATGAAACGTCTGATACATGTCATACAACCTCAAGCTGTATGTATCTTTTCGGCCGCCCCGACATGATCTTAATAAATTGCTGTTGCAACGCGAAGCTTTATGGATTTTCACTTTAGACACATTGTCTACAAAAGGTTTAAATGAGGAGTTTGACATTCGTCCTTTTCTGTAATAATTTTTGAATAAGTTTTTATTGTTTAATTGGTGTCCCAGAGATAGGTTGTGGCTGGAGGGGCGTCCGCTGCGTGTAAGTGTGCGGGATGAGTTGGCGGTTTATTCCGCTGTGGTAGCCCCGGACTAATAAAGAGACTAAACCGAAAAGATAATGAATGAATGAATGATGAATGAATGAATGAAGGTTTAAGTAGGGGTTTGGTTTAAAGGTTTTTTGGCTATATTTTGTTGTGTAGTCTGGTGTATCATGGTATTTATATATATATTTTTTTCTTTATTTGTTTATTTTTCTTTATTATAATTTGTGATGTAATATTATAGTTTATTTATGTATTTATATATATTTTTTTGTAATTTGATCAAAGCTATAGACTAGATGTGAATGTGTATACATGTATTCATGTGTATGTATGTATATATGAACGATTGTGTATGTATACATATGCATGTATGTATATGTTGGCATATATGCGAGAGGAGATCATGTGATCCGGAAGTGTATAAAAACGAGCACCTGATTGTGATGAACATTGTCTGATGAAGAGCCGGGTGGCTCGAAACATTACACGCTCTGTGTCAGCCTTTTTAATTTAATAAATTTGTATTTTTGGAGCCTTGGTGTTGCTGCCTTTGATTTACATTTAATTTGCACCTTTTGCGGTTTTGGCTGAGCACCCAATTAAGAGAGATGTGCGCGCTTTTGTACAGTTTTTTCATAGGCTGAGTAAATAGCCATGTTTCCATCCAAAGATGCACATTAGATTTCTGCACAAAACTCCAAGATGGCATAAAAACTTCACGAATTTCAATCAAGAGAGTCAAAGAGAACAAAACTTTCACTTTCCAGCAAACACACTTCGCCATAAGATATAATGAGGCTAGATTTAGGTTGTGACGTCCAACAAAAAAAAAAAAAAAAATCCAACATTGAGCCAACATCTTAAACTGACGGCATATTGACGTCAAATACTGACATTTGTTCATCGGGTATAGCAACCAAAATCCAACATCTGATAGACGCCATAGTGGCAATGTCCACACAACATCAAGCTGTAACATCATTAGATGTTGATATTTGGTTGATTTTATGTTGGACATTGCACATTGACGTTGTCCCAATGTTAAGTTCTGACGTCAACCCGATTATATTTCCAAACAAAATGCTACGTCCCCAGGATGTCGGGGTACACAGTCCATCTGACATAATGTTGACGTCCTGTGCATGCTGGGTTGCTGATAAACTAGATAAACAAGTGGAGTTTGCTACAGTAAGAAAAGCCAATGTGGGCCTTTTTTCTTATATTATAAATTATTGCAGATGTAGCCGATGCGCTACATCTAATTTGGGGAAAATGATTTTAGCATTAAAGTCAGGAGCTATAACAGACAATAAGATCTGAATATCCAGCACCACATCAACGAACAAAACACCTGAACTATAATTAAACTACAATCAAAGAATGCAAGATTTTCTCGAACACGTCGTCCTCAAAAGTTTTCCACAGCAACATGTTTAGGCTGAGTAAATAGCTGTGTTTCCATCCAAAGATGCACATTAGATTTCTGCACTAAACTGCAGTGACTTAAAAAAAACATTGTGAATTTTAATCAAGAGAGTCAAAGAGAACAAAATTTTCACTTTCCAGCAAACACACTTTGTAATAAGATATAACCTAATGTATTAGGCTGGATTTAGGTTGTGACGTCAGGTGACCAAAATTCAATGTCTAGTCAGCGACTAAGGACAACGTTATTTTGACGTCCAATAACAATATCAAATGACGTTGTTATTGGGTTGATTTTAGGTTGCAATAAAGTGACCAAAATCCAACATCAAGCCAACATCTTAAACCAAAGTCATATTGACATCAAAAACTGACATTTATTCATCAGGTATGGCAACCAAAATCCAAAGTCTGATAGACGTCATAGTGGTAATGTCCACACAACATCAAGCTGTAACATCATTAGATGTTGATATTTGGATGATTTTATGTTGGCCATTGCACATTGATGTTGGCCCAATGTTGAGTTCTGACGTCAACCCGATTATATTTCCAAACAAAATGCAAAGTCCCCAGGATATTGGGGTACACAGTCCATCTGACATAATGTTGACGTCCTGTGCATGCTGGGTTGCTGATAAACTAGATAAACAGGTGGAGTTTGCTACAGTAAGAAAAGCAAACGTGGGCCTTTTTTTCTTATATAATAAATGATTGCAGTCCACTGATGCGCTTCATCTAATTTGGGGAAAATTATTTCAGAATGAAGTCAGGAGCTTTAACAGACAATAAGATCTGAATATCCAGCACCACATCAATGAACAAAACACCTGAACTATAATTAAACTACAATCAAAGAATGCAGGATTTTCTCGAACACGTCGTCCTCAAAAGTTTTCCAGAGCAGATCTAAACGTCTGAGTGTGATGTGCTGAATCTGATGTAAGACATTTCCAAACCCCCTGGAGGATGAGGATGAAGGGGTTTTATTTGAAATTCGAACACTTTGTGCCTGTGAGGAACCTTTTTTTTCCTCTTCTTCCAACTGCTGGAGCTCAACATTTTTCTGTGATGCAAAATTTCATCTAATGTCTCCAATCACCTCGTCTAGGAGAAATGCAGTTGCAAAATCGTGTTGACTGCACTGAAGTGTCAGAGACAAAGACGGCAATCAGCTTTGCTGTTGTTTCTGCTACAAGCTATATTCCAGTCTCACTGTGTGTACTTCTGTGTATTTATGCAAGTATTGAGTTGTACTAATCAACATTGTGCATAATTGTATTGTGAAGGTACTTATGATTAGTGTTGCCTGCCACAACTACTGTTCAAAAGTTTAGAATAATTAAGCCTTTTGTAATGTTTTTGAAAGAAGTCTCAAACATATACAAGCAAATATTGTGAAATATAATTTGATTAGCTATTTCATATTTGAATGTATTTTTACATATTTTTTTATTCATTAATGTGATGCAAAGCAGAATTTTCAGCATCACTACTCCCCATGATCCTTCACAAACCTTCTTAATGTGATGATTTGCTGCATAAAATTTACTTAATGGTTTTATTATTAATGTTGATGGCAGTTTTTGCATGTTGTGGATGATAAATGGGAGCTTTTAATAAATTCAAAAGAACAACATTTATTTGAAACAGAAATCTTTTGCTATTTTGTAAGTGTCACTTTGAATAATTAAATGCATTCTTGCATGATAAAAGTATTTTTCTTTCTGTCTTTTACCTTCTTAACGATAAGATTATTAATATTATTACTACTACTACAGACTACTACAGGGTCAGAATTTGGCATCAACAACATACAAGCATGGATCCATCCTGCCTTGTATCAACGGTTCAGGCTGGTGGTGGTGTAATGGTGTGGGGGATATTTTCTTGGTACACTTAGGGCCCATTAGTACCAACTGAGCATCATGTCAACGCCACAGCCTACCTAAACATTGTTGCTGACCATGTCCATCCCTTTATAACCACAGTGTACCCATCTTCTGATGGCTACTTCCAGCAGGATAACGTAATATGTTATAAAGCGCAAATCATCTCAGGCTGGTTTCTTGAACATGACAATGAGGTTACTGTACTCAAATGGCCTCCACATTCACCAGACCTCAATCCAATATAGCACCTTTGGGATGTGGTGGAATGGGAGATTCGCATCATGGATGTGCAGCTGACAAATCTGCAGCAACTATGTGATGCTATTATGTCAATATGTCAACCGTGTTGAATCTATGCCACGAAGGATTAAAGTTGTTCTGAAAGCAAAATGCGATGTAATGGTAAGGTATATCTAATAAAGTGGCCAGTTTATATTAATAATAATAATAATAATAATAACAATAATAATAATAAAAAGAATAACATTAATAATAATAGTAATAATAATTATAATAATTATAAGTTTAATAATAATAATAATAATAATAATAATAATAATAACAACATTAATAATAACATTAATAATAATACCAATAATAACAACATTAATAATAATAATAATAATAATAATAATAATAATAGTAATAATAGTAATAATAACAACATTAATAATAATAATAATAATAACAACATTAATAATAATACTAATAATAACAACATTAATAATAATAATAATAATAATAATAATAAGTATAAGTATAAGTATAATAATAACAAAATTAATAATAATAATAATAATAATAATAGTAATAATAATAATAACATTAATAATAATAATAATAATAATAATAACAACATAAATACTACTACTACTACTACTACTACTACTACTACTACTACTAATAATAATAATAATAATAATAATAACAGTAATGATTTTCTCTTAAGAATTAATTTAATATATCTGAAGGATCATATGGCACCGAAGATAGAAGAAATGATGTTAGATATTCAAAATAAATCCAAATTATTGTAATTACAAGTTATAATCAAGTAAATGCAGCTTTGGTTAAACTTAAATGCATTTAATACATTTAAAATCAACAAAATTCTCAAAAGAAAACTTTTGCCTGGTAAAGTTTAATTAAACCATGACTAATGCGCATTAAAATGTGAAAAATATGTCCATGTTTTGACAAGCATTGTGTTTGCTCACTACAGCGACTACTATATGTAAAAAATACAAAAAACAAACAGCGGTGCCAAAACCTTTGCACACTACACAGTCTAAAGTTGCACAGCAGTAAACCCAAAACACAGCTTGCACCTTCAGCAAGGGATTTATTTTAGAGATCTTTTACTGACCTTCCACTTTGATCTGGTTCCTGGAGCAGGACGGACAAGGCAGGATCCTGAACTCCTCAGCCTGATGCATTGAATAATCCGTACTGGCCACAACGATCCTGTCACCGAACGTCCAACCATGAGGTTCATCCGCCACATCCAGAATACTGCAGTTAGATGAGGTGTCTATAGAGATGGAGGCTTGTGGACGCACTGTTTAAGGAGACAAAACACACATTTATTTAGTACTGTATGAACGTGTCATGTCTTATATAAAGACTTATATGTACCGACTCATCTGATCTGAGACCCATTAAAGATCCACCAAACAAATGAACAAACAATTTGAAACATGCTTCATTTTAAACATGACTACACTGTAAAACATATCGGTAAATTAGCAGGTTTCCATATTTTGTGATTGATGTTATTTTACTTCATTTGTTTATGTTTTTTAATTGCATTATGGGATCTTGATCTTTCTTCCAACAACTTTTAACCATGAAAAGTTTGAAAAAAGTGATTTTATTGACATTTTTAATAGTTTAAAGTGATATAGTGTCTGAGGTGGTGTTGTATATTACGCTACAATAACCTTGTAATAAACTGCCAGTACATTTTCTCTTCTTATTTCTCTGTATATTATTTCTTGCACATTAAACTATTGTAAACTACTAAAAATGTCAATAAATGTCACTTTGTTAAACTGTACAGTTGAACTTTTAACATAAAAAAGATCACAGAGCAGAGATTAACATCCAATAATTCATGACTAATTCATGGAAATCCTTAATTCACAACCATAAATAATTGGAACACACTTGTGAATCGCAAGATACAGAAACTGCATGTTCTTCAACAGATTCTTTTTTACGGCAAAAGTTTTGCACTGCTGTTTTCCCACTATTTACTCAACCAAATTCATGTCTTTCTTCTGTTGAACAAAGAAAAAAAATCTACTGTGGAAGTCAATGGCTACCAGTTTCCAACATTTGTCAAAATATATTAATTTGTGTACAACAGAACAAAGAAAGTCAAACATGTTTAAAACAAGAGTAGGGTGAGTAAATAGCTCAGTAAAGTGCGCAGTTAAATTGCTCAGTTTTCATAGAGTCAAAGAGAACTAAATTGTCTCGTCCTGATAAACTGGTGGCAAATTTCAAAAAGAAAAATAGAATTTGAAATAGTAAATCTGGTGATTTTTTAAATATAATAAATGAATTACAACTCAGAAAACGAAGACAAAATGCAATGAACGCGCTATGACTTTTAAAGACCAGAGATGCTCAAAACAGCTCTGGAGATAATTATAACAACAACAACAACAACAACAACAACAACAACAACAACAACAACAACAACAACAACAACACCACCACCACCACCAACAACAACAACAACAATAATAACATCCTGTTGCTGTGCTGGGTTGCTGATAAACTGGCGGCAAATATCAAAACGAAAAGTAAAATTTGCTAAACTAGGAAAAGTCTAGTAAGTTTATCCTATTAAGTTGTACGCATGTTTTTTTTTTTTTTTTTTTTTTTTGCGCACAAACTTGGCGTTTCTATTTGCGACAGTCCAAAATGCGCATATAAATAGATGGATGGAACCAGCTAAAGATGACAGAATTATATTTTTTGGCTAAACAGTCCCATTTCTTAAATTTGTAAGTGCATATTTTATGTATTTCCACCCCTTAAAAGAAGAACTGAATGCATTTAAATGATAACCTCAACAACATTTGTGCATAAATTCTTCTCTATGCATGGGAAAATGAGCAAATGTAATCAATCAGCTCATACAACGGCCCCAATCAGTCAAAATGTGCCATGAATTCTGTGAAATGCTTTTCAGATGTAATATTTTGACTTGCGATCAGATGCTGAAACTTCTGAGCTACGAGGCAGAATGTTAGCAATTATACCGATGGCATATTATCAGCTAGTCTGGGCAGCCTTTACAGACATTTGGTGGTTTAGATTAACACAAAGAAATCTTGACTAATAAACAAGATGTACAGATCTATTTTGGGAAAATAAAAGCCATAGCATGTGACTGAAAAAAGGCAATACTCTGGGAACATCTGCAGCCTCTGGGTAATGGTCAAAAATGATTGATAAGCACAAAATGTGACACTTTTAGGATTTGAACCTGCAATCTTTGACTTGATTGACAATAAAATGTCAGTTTTGGTGCACTCCAGATCAGGTTTAGTGGAATGAAATCAATGTGAATTATTACAAAGTAGAGTGGGAAGTATATTTCTGAAGCTTTCCCATCCATTTTAGTCTAAATATAGGCGGTAAAGTGCTCATGTTATTTGGCGAGTGTAAAAGCTCAAGTTGTTTGTAAACAGCTGACATTTACCAGAAATTGACGGAGAAGGTTAAAACGAGCAGTGGATGCGGAAGCCATCATAAATCACTTATGAAGACATTATCATTTTTGTTGATTTTCTTTTTTATCTTTAACCCCTTGATAGCATGGACAGTCTTGAAATCTTTGACTCGTTTATCCACTTAATTTTTGAAGCATTAATATTTAGGTGTATATTTTTTTGATTAATAATTTTAGCATAGGCTAGATGTATATGACACTGGTATATAGCAGGGGTGACCAAACACTGTCCCTGTCATGACTGTCTTAGACCACTAGATGGCACTGTAGTTCACTTACAAACTCTTGTAGTGAACTACAGTTTTAGGGAACTACAAATCCATACATTCCCTCGTGCACACACCCGGCTGCCGGCAAATTTATACTGATTGCATACACAGCTGTCTCCATTTACGTTTTGATTTCCTGGACTATTTATACACCTTGCACCCATTTGTTTGTCACTGAGTAGTTCGTCTACCTTGTCTAGTAAGTCTTGTTATAGTTGGTATGTTGTTCCTGAGCCTTGTTCTTGTTATCCCGCCATAGTTCCTTGTTTTGTTTGTCGTTATTTTGATACTTTGATTTTTGGATGTCTTGTTTTTTTTTCTGTTATCTGCACTCATCTCATTAAATTGCACTTGGATCCTACACCTTTTTGTTTTCGTTCTTGAACATACCGTGACAGTCCCGGAGGTCCGGTGTCCTACATATTTTGGCTCCAACTTGCCTCCACACAACTGCAACTATGTTTCTAAAAAGCCTAGTAAGAGCTTGATTAGCTAGCCCAAGTCTGTCTGATTGGGGTTGAAGTTAAAATCTGCATGACACCGGATTTCAAAGATCGAGAATCCCTGGTATATATTAAATTTGATTGGAAAAAGCAGGTGTATTATTCCCTTTTTTAGTTTTTTTAATATATTTTTGGAGAGCATGTGTGTTTTAGTTTTCTACTTTAATGTTTTGTTTCATGTTTAATTAAAAATTGTTTAGAAATATAGATATTATATATAGATATTATAGTATATAGATAAAATATAGAAATATATATATATTCAAAAATGCAAAACACAATTTTTAAACAAGCAAATCCAATTCGTAAATTCAAAAAAAAATTCATAAACGCGCATTTCCAATTCATAAATTCAAAACACAATCCATAAATGCTCAAATCCAATTCGTAAATTCAAAACACAATTCATAAATGCGCAAATCCAATTTGTAAATTCAAAACACAATTCATAAATGCGCAAATCCAATTTGTAAATTCAAAACACAATTCATAAATGCGCAAATCCAATTTGTAAATTCAAAACACAATTCATAAATGCGCAAATCCAATTTGTAAATTCAAAACACAATTCATAAATGCGCAAATCCAATTTTTAAATTCAAAACACTTCATAAACGTGCATTTCCAATTCGTAAATTCAAAACACAACTCATAAATGCGCAAATCTAATTCGTAAATTCAAAACACAATTCCTAAATGCGCAAATCCAATTTGTAAATTCAAAACACTTCATAAACGTGCATTTCCAATTTGTAAATTCAAAACACTTTTCATAAATGCGCAATTCCAATTCGTAAATTCAAAATGCAAATCATAAACACGCATTTCCAAATTGTGATTTCAAAACTAAATTTATAAATGCGCAAATCCAATACATTTGAGAGATAATTTAAAACTTTTAATTGTGACTTCACAAATTATGTTTTGAGTTTATGAATTGTATTTTGTAAACGTGAACTGTGCTGTTCATGTATAAGTTTGATTTTTGCGAACGTATCTTTTTGAGACCGATTTGGCTCTATATTTATAGACCTATAGTTCATTACAAAAAGCTTTAATTAAATTAGTATTAAGTATTGTACATATTATATTATACTAATTTCTTAGTGTCAGGATTCTGCCACCTCGGTCTTGTTAATACTTGCTTTGGTGGCAGAGTCCAGACGTCACTACTAACTATAAAATTATTTATTACCTTTAACCACATAGTACGGACAGTGTTGTAATCTTTGAAACCTCGCCAACACGGGGAGAACATGCAAAATGTCATCTGACTCAGCCGAGACTTAAACCAGCAACCTTTTTGCTGTTAGGCGACAGTGCTAACTACTGAGCAACCATGTCGCCCTCATTTACCTATTTATTTAGTCATTTGTAATGTAATGTGTATTTATATAGTGTATTTATTGTGTATGGCCGTATACCCAAAGTGCTTCACCATCATGAGGGGGGTCTCTCCACACCACCACTAGTGTGTAGCATTCACTTGGATGATGAGACGGCAGCCACAGGACAACGACGCCAGTGCGCTCACCACACACCAGCTATTGGTGGAGTGGAGAGACAGTGATCGAGCTAATTAAGTGGATGGGGATGATTGAGAAGTCATGATGGGTGAGGGCCGATGAAGGGTATTTGGTCAGGACACCAGAGTTACACCCCTACTCTTTACTAGAAGTGCCATGTGATTTTTAATGACCACAGAGTCAGGACCTTGATTTAATGCCTTATCTGAAAGACGGCACTCACTGACAGTATAGTGTCCCCTACACTATACTGGGGCATTAGGACTCACACAGACCACAGATTGAGCGCCCCTGCTGGCCTCACTAACACCACTTCCAGCAGCAACCTAGTTTTCCCATGTGGTCTCCCATCCAGGTACTGAACAGGCTCAACCCTGCTTACCTTCAGTGAGTAACCGGTTTCGGGCTGCTGTGTGATATGGCTGTGTCAAATTTATTGGCATTTATTTATAACGTGTAGAAAGTTTTATAATGCATTCACTTTGAGAATAGCTTAATAAGTTTTTTTTAGTTTTTTTTTTTTTTAAACAGACATTTTATCTTCCACATTAGCCACATTTTTTAGGCTTCATGAGCATAATGTTTGACGGGGGTGGACAAGTTTATCTTTTTTTGGGAAAAGATAAGCACCAGGACTAATTTATTTTTAATCACAGAGAATAGGGCACAATCCCAAATAAGGAAGCATCCCAGAAACCAAAAAAAACTTCCTTTGGGTCTAGATCTAAAGCATCCGTCTCAATCAAAGTTCAGATTCGCAGATGAATTATTAAGTCACATATTGTGGGTGTTAAAGTGAATAAAACAGATGGAAAATATATCTATTGATGAAATAACTGCAGCCTTGGTTTGTGTGAAAATGTGAAATGAGAAGAACCCAAACGCTCATCCCCTGATGAAGATCTCTGATTAAAACACTGAAAAAAATTAAAAAGTAATTGAATAATTGAACTGGATTTTTTATTATATCATTAATTATTTTGATTGTGTGTTTTGGTCCTGCACCTTGCTATAGATTTTGGATGTTCATATTTTCTTTTCTTTTTTTCAGAATTATTCAATTAATCCTACAACCCTCAAGCTTTTCAACAGTACTCTACAAAATACCAAAACCTAAATGAATGTGATTTATATATAAGTACCCACGTTATATTGGCAAATGTTCAACTTTGTCCAATTATTATTCGACGGATTAGGGATAAGAGTATTAAAAATTTTATTAATATTACTTTATTTTATGTTATTGCTTATGCTATAATAATGTCTGATTTCACCAAAAGTATGGGGTATAGGACGTCAACATGACATCAGATTGACGTTGTAACCCAACGTCATGGGGACTTTGCATTTTGCTTGGAAATGAAACTGGATTGACGTCTGAAGTCAACATCAATGTAAACATCCAACCTAAAATCAACTAAATATCAACATCTAATGATGTTACAACTTGACGTTGTGTGGAGGTTACCACTATGACGTCTATCAGACGTTGGATTTTGGTTGCCATACCTGACGAATAAATGTCAGTATTTAATGTCAATATGACGTTGATTTAAGATGTTGGCTCGACATTGGATTTTGGTCCCTTTCTAACACAACCTGAAATCAACCACACATCATTGGAAATTAACTAAATAACATTGGACGTCAACTCAACATCATTGGACGTCAACTAAACATCATTGGACGTCAACTAAACATCATTAGACATCAACTAAATATCATTGGACGTCAACTCAACATCATTGGACGTCAACTAAATATCGTTGGACATCAACTAAATATCATTGGACGTCAACTGAACATCATTGGACATCAACTAAATATCATTGAACGTCAACTCAACATCATTGGACGTCAACTAAACATCATTGGACATCAACTAAATATCGTTGGACATCAACTAAATATCATTGGACGTCAACTGAACATCATTGGACATCAACTAAATATCATTGAACGTCAACTCAACATCATTGGACGTCAACTAAACATCATTGGACATCAACTAAATATCGTTGGACATCAACTAAATATCATTGGACCTCAACTCAACATAATTGGACCTAACCTAATATTAACGTCTTATGATGTTGTGTGCCTGCTGGGTCAATAGGCAGTAATAGGCTTATTATTATTATTTTTGAACATATTTTTCACTGGTAGACATTTTACTGTATTTTTTAGATAATTTACTGGCAATATTTGAAACCATCACCAGTGATCCAGGCTTGTAGATTACTGGGAATCATTCACTTTCACTCAGGACTACAAATCTGTCACTACAAATCCTTTCGTGCACTACACACTCACACCTGTTCCGGTTTTCCGCTCATTGCTAACACACACAGCAGAAGCTTTTCAGAACTGAAACTTTAAGAGTCAAGATACATTATTGAGAAATCCAGCCCTGTAAAATATCAGTCATCTTCTGCAGAGCTGAAGTGAAGCAGTTTTCAAACAAGCTGTATTTTATAAAAGGCTATATAATAAAAAAACAGGCTATAGAAATAGAGGTGGCTTGGCAATAAAAAGCAGCCATGCCATCTGCCCATGTATAAAAAGATATGCATACTGTTGCCATTGACTTTCATTGTATGCAAAAAGAGCAGCACTGCATCCAAAATCTCCAATTGTGTGTTCACTAAATGAAGTTGTATCGGAGTGACATGAGTGTGACTGACTGACTGATAGAAAAGAGCAGACTGCTTCACACATACCCAGCTTTCCGCACAGAAAACGCACGTGGTAGTTGTGGCAAATCCCATCCAGCTGCTCTTTGTTGAGGCACACAAAGCCATAGTTTCTGTCAAACTTGGAGAAGACTTCTCCTGTCATGTTGGCAGGGATGCCGTCAAGAGTTTCAGCCTGTAGGCAAAGCAGGAAGATTTATAAGACACAGTCAAACACTCTCACACACATACATACACAGACTGCTGCAGCTGAAAAGTGTGGGGTCAGCACAAATCAGTGAAAACATAAAAAAATAATCATTTTAATTTAGTGGCATATTGTCATTTTCTGCTAATAAACACAACTACTCTTATTTGACAGAGAGCTTTCTATTACAATTGTAAGAAGCAATAAACAGATAATACTTTAAACACTCCAGAAAAAAAAAAAAAAAGAGTTTTTCTAACTAAGAGTTTTTTGTTTTTTTTTTCTAGTTCAAATATAAAAAAAACAGTTTTGGTTTCAGAAATAATCCATCAAAATTATGTTAAAATATGAGTTTTTAACCTTGCAATTGGCATACAGAGTGGGTGTTACGACTGAAGTTTATTTATTTCTTTATTATTACAGATTGTACTCTGTCTTTTTCTTTTCTCCCGCCTCCTTGTTGTTTTTCTATTGTCTCATAGGCTCCCATACCGGCGTGATACCCTGTTCTGATTGGCTGCTGGTCGCAAAAGCATGTATAAAAAGGAGCTTCCGGCGGGGATTGGGGAGCTCATTTCTGTGCGTCCGGTGTTTGGAGTGGAGCTCCTGGGTTTCCTTCACCCCTCCGGTCAACGACCAACAACCAACATTGCATTGATGACCATCATATGTTAAAATATTTTTGAGAGTTTGAGCGTGTTGGGGTGACCTGCCTATTTATTTAATTACTTTTGACTTTGTTTAAGTTAGGGAGTAAGGTAAGATATTTGTATTTTTCTTTAAATAGTAATAGGTAATTTAGTGGATTTATTTTATAGATTTTTTTGTTTATTATTTTGGCCTGTGGTCACCCTGACAAATTCTCATATATATATATATATATATATATATATATATATGAACCCCATTTTTCTATAATAAATATATTTATATATACACTCAATTGAGTGTGTGAGTTTGGTTGTCGACCGAAGGGAATCTTTTGCTTTAAGTTTTGTTTAGTTTGGGAAATCCTCCACCCCAACACATTTGTTTTGTTTTTTTTTCTTCGTTAATTATGTCCTTTGTGTTTCCCCTAGACTCGAGGCGTAATAGTGGGGCGTAGAGTGGAAGATGCCACCCTCACTCTGATAGATAAGGCTGGGAAATATTTGGACGCGGCAGATTCCTGTGTTAGGATCTTTTTCACGAATTTTTCCTCTGCATTTAATGCGGTAAATGTAAATATTCTTTTGAAAGAATTAAACAATTTGCAAGTACACCGAACTCTTATTTTGTGGATCGCTAGTTTCTTGCGGGATCGACCACAGCATGTGTTAGTTAATGGTAAAAAAGTCTGAGAATGTGGTGTTGAATACTGGCCTTCCTCAAGGATGTGTGTTATCACCTATTTTATTTTCTATTTATATAAGAGATCAAAATCTGACACAAGTATGCAGATGACATGGCATTGGTGGGATGTGTAAAGGATACACAGTTATCGTATAATTCTCTCAATTTTGTCAATTTTATCGCAAGTTGGACAACAGAGAATTCCTTGCAGCTTAACATAAGTAAGACGAAAGAAATGTGTTGTGGAACAAACAAAATATGAACATTTTGTGAGCCTTTTTGACTAACTGCATCTCTGTTTAATGTTTATTGTCTTCTTTTGTGTTGTCACCTGTCACTTTATGTGGAAGCTTCTGTAGCCAAAACAAATTCCTTGTGTGTGTGAAGCACACTTGGCAATAACACTGATTGTGATTCTGATTAATGGGGAGGAAGTTGAACAGGTGAGATCGTTTAAATATTTAGGTGTGGAGGTTGACTTTCAATCCTCTTTTGATAAACACTCAAAGAATGTTTTTAAAAAGTCTCAGCAGTGGTTGAGTTTGGTGAGAAAACTTGAGAAGGACATTTTGATTGTCGTATATAAATCACTTATTGAATCTGTCCTTACTTTTAATATTGTAGTCTGGTTTAACTCCCTCTCTTTTACAAGCAAAAATAAACTTTTAAGGTTGATAAACATAGTGAATAAAATAATTGGCGAGAGACAAACACCTCTCACTGATTTATTTATAGCAGCGACCAAAAGAAAAACATCCACTATTGTGGAAGATTCTTTCCATCCTTCACATGGTTCCTTTAAATTATAGACTGTATAAAGTCCCTTTAGCAAAAAAAAAAAAATGGCCAAGTACGAGAAGAAATTTAATCCCACTGCCATTGTTTATTTTGATAGGATTTTTAAAAATAACTGTGTAAGTGTTTCTGTAGCCTATGTCTAAAGACAATTAAAATTTTAATTTTAAGACAAAACTCACATAATTTTGACACTATTTCTGAAACCAAAACTGTTTTTAAATTTTTTAAAATGCTTCTTAATTTATGAATATAATATATCCTTATACAACCTAGTTCATCAACCTAGTTCATTCACCAATAGCTCATGTCTTTGGACTGTGCGGGAAACCGGAGCACCTGGAGGAAGCCCGCGCCAACAAGGGGAGAACATGCAAACTCCTTAAATTAAATTAAATTATTTTTGGCTTAGTCCCTTTATTATTTAGGGGTCACCATAGAGCAGGGGTCTCAAACTCGCGGCCCGCGCGCCATTTGCGGCCCTCAGTGCAATATTTTGTGGCCCGCACCGACAGCTGTACACTGACAGAATCAGCGGAGCGGGGAGAGAGAGCGCTCCCCGCTCCGCTGATTCTATCCGTACACAGCGGTCACTGGCATTCCCCGCCCGCCGTGTAAACAAAGGGGCGGGGATGCCGGTGACGTCACCAGGCACCCCGCCCCTTTGTTAGACGCTGTGACGGGCGGGAAGTGTTAGGAGGGAACTCGCGCTGGCCAGAACCAAGGTAAGCTGTTCCCGCCCCTGCCTGCCACTTAGCTACCTATCTGCAGCCTGCCACCTACCTAGCTACAGCCTGCATCTTATATATATATTATAGGTAGATACAGACTGGTACAGACTGATGTGACTGGAGTGGGGTTCAAGCGGACCATGTGCCTTTTTGGGAGCACATATTTGTGTGAGAAGTTATTCTCCACCTTGAACTTCAATAAGTCAAAGTACAGGTCTAGACTTAATGATGATCATCTTCAAGCCATACTGAGGGTCTCAACTGCTTCCGCTCTAAAGCCAAATGTGGTTCAGATTTGTGAGAAGAAGCGCTGTCAAGTCTCTGGCAGCAAGAAGTAGGCAAAAGATGCCATGTTCAGAAGAACTGTTCATAATCTTCACTCAATGTTCTATTAATGTTCAGGACACTTCATGTTCAGAAGAAATAATTAAAGCTGTTAATAATGACATTTGAGGACTTTTTTTTGTGAAATCCCTTACCCAGACTTTGCCTCCTGCGGCCCCCAGGTAAATTGAGTTTGAGACCCCTGCCATAGAGGAAAGATCCACAAACTTATCCAGCATATGTTTTACGCATCGGATGCCCACCCAGCCATAACTAATTTAATTTAATTTAATTTAATTTAATTTAATTTAATTTAATTTAATTTAATTTAATTTAATTTAATTTAATTTAATTTAATTTAATTTAATTTAAGGAGTTTGCATGTTCTCCCCATTTTTTTATTTTTATTATTTTTATATTTTTGTAAAAGTATCATCATTCTGATTAGGCAAAAAGTTGGATTATTTTATTTGTTGTTTCACATTTCAGATTTAAATCAGTAGTGTAATGTGAATAGGACGCTGACAATGAAATGCGGATCCAAATGCAGGGTTTATTAACGAGAATGGTCAGGCAAGCAATGGTCAAAATAGGGGCAAACAGAAGTACAAAGGCAAATGCAGAGTCGTGGTCATAAACAGGTGGAAGGTCAAAAGGCAGGCAGCGTACAGCAATAAAAAATAAAACAAGGCAAGGGTCTAACATGGCAAAACAAGGCAAAGTAACGTGTCGTATTGTTCACAATACTGCATACAAGACTCAGAAACTAGTGTGAGTGTGTGTGTGTGCGTGTGTGTGTGTGTGTCTGTGCTGCTTTTAAAGTCCATGTCATCATTTCTTAACAGCTTCAGCTGTGTGTGTTAGCAGTCAGCCAGGATTAGGAACTGGTGCGTGTGTGTGCAGTGCATGACTGGAACTTGTAGTCCATATAATGGCGGATTTGATTTTCTATGCGATCTGCCAGGATTAGATCGCTGGTGATTGTGACAACTAGAATGTTCAAGAATGTCATTGTTTCAGCTGTACGATGGCAAGGTTAAACATTTCTGATGTCACAAAATAATTTTGTTATAAAATGTGCAAGTTTTCATTATTTTTGTCAGGTATTTAAAGTTTGTGCATGTGCATGCACTCCTGTATGTGCAAGCATTCACAGTGAACATATGCTTACCTCCATATCTAGAGGGTTACTGCACATTCTCTCAGGAAAAGCTTTGTGGAGGTCAGACACTTTCTCCCAGTCACCTGATCCTCTCTCATCATCGCGGTCAAACCATTCTGTCCATTCGGCCTCTGAAACCCACACAAACACACAAACACATAGATTAAACTCCGAAAACTCCACCACCCTCATTGGAGACAGGCTCATGTAGATATTAGTCTCATTTACATCTTTAATCTTCCTGTTTTGCAATTCTGCCTGTCAAAGCCTATTTATGCAGAGATAATTGCAGTTCGCCCTCCCCGTTTTGCCGTCTGCGCTGCCAGACCTACAGGGAATTCAGCCTACTTTTTGTTGCATTGCATTCAAATCAAAGCAAACATAATATTAAAAAAAACAGAACGAGAGACACCTCTGCCATGCAATCGAGAAGACGTGACTCCTTCACTCTCGGCTGCGATCAGGGCTGAATTCTCAAGTGATAGCACTGTTTGGGGGATACTTGAAAATGATTAGAAGCTACAACAAATTATAAAGAGCCCTTCAATGCAAAAGAGCCCTCAGAATCGACTCCAGGAGTGCGGTGGGAAATTGACTGTGTATTTGAACATGTGGGAAGCCAATTGGTGCCATGCTGTATACCGTAGTGTGTGTTTTATACCCCAATAACATTTACACAACTGTGTTCTAAAAGTAAGGAAAAACACTATTTCGGATCACAGATTGGTCCTCTTAAATAATTTCAAACAGCACGTACATTTTTTATGATTCTAAGAAGTCGTAAAGGCTCTTTCTGAAGTGTTCTCTAAATGTTCTTAGACTAAGCATACACTCAATGCATCACTTAGCGGGTTTCCATACAAGTTTCTGTATCTTGCTTATATACACTATGAACAGCAGCTACGCTGTTATTATTGCTAATTATTCTCTTTTCTTCTCCATTTCCACCTGGGGATACTCATCCCGAGGTCCTCAGATTATGCGGAGTCACTGATTGGATCCAAGACCAGCGACGAGATGATCCCAAGGTTTCTATAATCCGGGACCAGGCCGTATCGTGAGCTGCTGCTGCGCTGGTGGTCATGGGGGAGTGGAGAGTATAAGACTGATTCCAGTGACGCTCCAGGGACAGACGAGTCTTCGCTGAGGCCATCTTCCAGCTTCCACCGCTGAGACTGCAGCTCTGCACAAGACTTCTCCAGCCAGCGGAGAAATTAAAATGGTCATGCCGAACTGAGTCTGGTTCTCTTAAGGTTTTTTTTCTTTACTCTCTTGTCGGTGAAGTTTTCTTTCCCTCTCCGCTGTCGCCTTTGGCTCGCATGGTTCAGGATTGGTAGAGCTACGCATCTATGAATTTGCTCTTCAGTGTTTGGACTCTCAGTAATGATTAAATCACACTGAACTGAGCTAAACTGAACTGAACTTAAACACTAAAAACTGAACCACACTGTTCCAGTTACTATGACCATTTATGTGAAGCTGCTGTGACACAATCTACATTGTAAAAGCGCTATACCAGTGGTCACCAAACTTGTTCCTGGAGGGCCGATGTCCTGCAGATTTTAGCTCCAACCCTAATCAAATACACCTGAACTAGCTAATCAAGGTCTAACTAGGTATACTTGAAACATCCAGGCAGATGTGTTGTGGCAAGATGAAGCTAAACCCTGCAAGGACACTGGCCCTCCAGGACCAGGATTGATGACCCCTGCGCTATACAAATAAAACTGAATTGAATTGAATTGAATAGATAGCCACCCTAAGCAGCAACAACTGCAATAAATGGTTTTCGATAACTTGCATTGAGTGTGGTGGAATTTTGGCCCCTCATCTATGCAGAATTATTGTAATTCAGCCGCATTGGAGGGTCTTTGAGTATGAACCTCCTTTTTAAGGTCATGCCACAGCATCTCAATTGGATTCAGGTCAGGACTTTGATTAGGCCACTCAAAAGTCTTCATTTTGTTTTTTGTCAGCCATTCAGAGGTGTACTTCTGAAGGAAAACAAAATACAAAACTACATAGCCCTGTGTAAAAAAAAAGTATTTACCCCTAAACCTAATAACTGGTTGGGCCACCCTAAGCAGCGACAACTGCAATCAAGCGTTTTTGATAACTTGCATTGAGTCTGTTACAATGCTGGGAAGGAATTTTAGCCGACTCATCTTTGCTGAATTGTTGTAATTCATCCACATTGGAGGGTTTTTGAGTATAAACCTCCTTTTTAAGATCATGCCATAGGCATCTCGATTGGGTTCAGTTCAGAACTTTGACCACTAGGCCACTTCAAAGTCTTCATTTTGTTTTTCTTCAGCTATACAAAAGTGGACTTAAGGGAAAGCAAAATACAAAACTACATAGCCCTGTGTGAAAAAGTGTTTGCCCCCTAAACCTAATAATTGGTTGGGCCACCTTTAGCAGCAACAACTGAAATTAAGCAGTTTTGATTACTTACATCGAGTCTGTTACAACATTGTGGAGGAATTTTGGCTGACTCATCTTTAAAGAATTGTTGTAAATCAGCCTCATTGAAGGGTTTTCAAGCATGAACTGCCTTTAAAAGGTCCTGCAACAGCATCTCATTTGTATTCAGGTCAGGACTTTGATGAGGTCAATCCAAAGTTTTCATTTTGTTTTTCTTCAACCATTTAGAAAGGGACTTAAGAGAAAACAAAATACAAGACTACATAGCCCTGTGTGAAAAAGTGTTTGCCCCTAAATCTAATAACTGGTTGGGCCACCCTTGGAAGCAACAACTGCAATCAAGCATTTTTGACCACTTGTGTTGAGTCTGTTACAACGTTGTAAAGAATTTTTTGCCCACTCAGCTTTACACACTTGTTGTAATTCAGCCACATTGGAGGGTTTTTGAGTATGAACTGCCTTTTTAAGGTCATGCCACAGCATCTCAACAGGATTCAGGTCAGGGTTTTGACTAGGCCACTCCAAACAGTTTTCATCTTGTTTTTCTTCAGCTATCCAGACTTGCTGGTGTGCCTTAGATGATTGTTCTGCTGCAGAACCCAAGTTTGCTTTCACAATGAATTATATTAAATTGTTATGTTACAAAGAAACTCTATAAAAGTGTTTTATTTTTATTTTATTAAATTACTCAACTAACCTATATTCGCATCTTTTTAGAGTGAATTAATTCCCTGTTTCAGAAGCAAAAGAACAAAACTGTTCATTTCACAAATATTTATGTTTACAAATGACCATTAAACTCATGAATTGTTTTCATATGCTTTGTTGTGAAATCAGTGCTTCTTAAAAGACAGGCGAGTCATTGATCTTTTGTAACATTAATCTATAAAATAAATGCATTAATTTGACTAAATGCTGTAAATACTTGTAATTTAATAATTATTCTAAAATTCAAATTCTTCAAATAATCTTAAAAATAATAAACAAACAAAACAAACAAAGAAACAAATAAATAAATAAATAAATATCATGATTTCCATGAAGCATAAAGCACTACAACTATTTTTCATATTATTAAATATGTTTTGGTCATAAAATCATATTAGACTGAATGAATGATGCTGAAATCTGCTTTATATCACACAAACTAAATGCCTTATTGTAATTAATGCAAAAGTGAATAACAGTTAACATTAATGCCAGCAAATGAAATTTCATATTTGAATGTGTTTTTGATTAAATAAATACAGGTTTTATGTGCTTAAGAGAGTTCTGTCCGAAAATCAGCTCAAAATGCCAGAATATTTGCAATAAAAGTGAACTTTTCAAAGATTAATAGCATATCACTGATCACAAAACAAAACCTGAACTTGTTCCCAGAATTCCAGGATAGACGTGGGCCACTTTTCCCCATCTGTGCACTGCAATCATACAGCAGGACTTTAATTCTACATCTAAATGAGTTCATTCTGAGCTCATAATAAGATCTTGCACACTTGTTAACTAAATGACGGCTCCGCTGATGAACAAACAGATGGCATCTTCTGAATGGAGACAGAAAGATGCCACACGAACAGTAGTTAAAGGGATAGTTCACCCAAAAATGAAAATTCAGTCATTATTTACTCAATCTTTACTTATTAAAAACCTATTTGATCTTCTATCTTTTGTTGAACACAAAAGAAGATATTTTGAAGAAAGCTGGAAAACCATTGGCTTCCATAGAATTTCTTTTTCCTATTTAAGCAAATGGTTACAGGTTTCCAGCTTTCTTCATACAAACATCCAGAAATGGGGAGTGGAGGTGAAGGAAAAAGTTTATATCAGATTCAACATTTAATTTAGAAGCTTGAATTTTATCTACTTTCATCTTGTTCTCTGTTTTTTCTTCATCTTGTTTCATGCAGAACAGATAAATTAAGATATTTGTAATTAATTAAGATGTACTTGTATCTCTTCTTATCATCTATATATTGTTAGGGTAATGAGAAATGTAATTAGTATGGAAAAAAATAGATATTATAGGCCTAAAATATATATATTTTAGATCCATCAGAAATCATGCAGAAGTTAATCTCTGAATTGCTGCAGTAACAGCATCGTTATCGTTATCAAGGTTGAAAACAGTTGTGGTGCTTCGTTCATTCATTCATTCATTTTCCCCACCTTTAAATTACATAATACGTGTAATGTTAATATATGCTTTACAATGTTACTGCTTTTAATGTATTTTTATTAAATAAATGTATATGAGCTAAAGCTTTTGAGCTAAAGCTTTCAAAAATAAAAAATAAAAATATATTTGAACATTAAATATGATAAAGGGCTCTATTTTGACAGTCCATGCGCAAAGCGCAGGGCACAAACACTTTCAGGGCGTGTCAAAATGCATTTTTGCTAATATAAGGACGGAAAAATTCGTTTTACCCCATGGCACATGGTCTAAAAGGGTTGAGTTTATTTTCTTAATGAGTTATAGGTGTGTTTTGAGAAAAAAACTATCAGAGTCTCATCTCCCATTCCCTTTAAGAGCCAGTTCCGTCGCGCCATACTGTAAGCGCATTTGCAATTTACATGACGTAAAGTAAGTGAAAGTGGAAAAACTGAGCATTTCACTAGCAAGAAAACAGTTAAACAGAGCATCTACAGCGCGAGAATGACAGATAAATGATCTACTTTTACTTTCGCTCTCGTGGATAGGGAAACCTTTACGCACAGACATCAATTAGCCTATGAATAATTAATTTCAGTTGTTAAGCACAAAGATTTGTTTCAAAACTATTTCTAAATTCAGTTCTAATTTCCAGCAAACGAATAATGAACAATAATAATCAAGTGTGGTCAAACAACTGAGTTATATCCTAAAACACATGCTGTGCCCCATATGGTCTGAAACCTGCAGGTGGCCAAATCTAAGCTTGTTTTTAATAAAACAAATGTAAATATGGATATAATAAATAATACTGCTAATAATAATAACATTATACAGAAGCAAATTGTTATGAATGAACTGAAAAAGCGTCCCGAGATGAAGAAGGCATAAAAGCAGTGATTTTTCATATTTATTTAGGCTAGAAAATAATGTTTTGTAATATTTTAATCCTTTATATTTATATCCTATATATATATTATAGATATATATCCTTAATATTTAACATTTTTCATATGTAAAGATATTTGCGGATTGCTCTACATCTTGTGTATCTTAAGCAGTGTGTTAGCGAGGCCAACTCTGCGCCGGACTTTAGACCGGGTTAGTTTTGGTCTATTGAAAAATCTTTTATAGTTTCTCAAAATAGCAACGCGCCAGCAGTGCGCCTCAGAACACCTTCCTTTTTAGACCAGAACGCCTATGGGTGCACACATGAGAGCTAATGCATTTGCTATTTAAACAGCGTAGCGCAACGCCTCAAAACGACTCTAGCGCCAAGCTGAAACTAGCAAACAACAATTGCGTTGCGCCTTGCACCACATTGCGCCGGGTGTATGATAGTGCCCAAAAAGTGATCGAAAAATCACTTTAATCCTCAAACAAGGCAAAATATTATTTTTTGATTTATGTTCTGCTGGATCTTGTCGCACTGCATCATGTCTGTCGTGGTTTTAATAATGCGCTGCTGGAAAGGCCGACACAGCTGGTCACCAGAACTAGTTTAACCAGCAGGACGTCAACAAGAAAGAGCGTACAGCTCTACCAGATGCGGTAGTTAAAGCAAGCTCACCCCATTCCCGTGTCATTCTAACCCTGCACTATTCATTCTTCCATGAAACACAACAGGAGCTGTTGAAGTGAAAGTCTGAGCTGTTTTTTCCTCACATCAAATGTGAAGTGTGATTTCTGTATGCCAGGCTTCAAAAAGAAGTAAAACTCCACATGAACTGATCATAGAGTCGATCTGACCAGAGGTTGTGCTACAAATCATCATTATCCGTCACTCTGATACGATTTTCTGTCATGTTTTATTTTCTGTAAAATATGTTATTTTTAATGTGACATATCTTTTGTTGTAGTTAAAATAACTCCTGTTCGGCAAGAGCTTTTTTTTAGCTTCAGCAGCTGCTGAGTCGCAGAATCTTGCCCTTTATTTATTTTTTCTCATCTCTGACAATCTGAAAGAGGCTCTTGATTTAATGAACAGTCTCATATGAATCATTCCACTGAACTTCTCCCATGAAGTCAATGGTTACAGCTTTCCAGCTTCTTTAAAACAGCTTCTTTTGTGTTTAACAGAAGCAAGAAACTCAAGGAGATTTGAAACCACTTGAAGGTGGGTGAACAGTGAGTGGATTTTTCATTGTTGGGTGAACTGTCACTTTAAGTCAATTCCAGCACCAATCCACCATAAAAGGTTGTAGGCTTTATCATACAACGTGGTGCAAGTGTTTTTTTTGCTAGTTTCACCCCAGAGCAGGTTTAATTGTCACATTTCGTGCCACATCCCAGCAGACAGACATCATAAGACGTCAATATTAGGTTAGATTTAGGTCGCCTGCATCTAATGATTATGTTATTTTGACATCCAATAACGACGTGAAATCTTAAAAAAAAGTCATATTGACATCAAATACAGACATTTATTTGTATGGCAACCAAAATCCTTAGTGGTAACCAGGGCCGGATTAAGAACCCATTTGGCCCTGGGGCTATAGCAAATCCACGGGCCCACTTTTGATTATTTTTTACCTCAAAGTGTATAGATATAAGTTGTTGTCGTCATTATTATTAATAATTTACTAATTCATATTATCTAATTTTACACCATTTATATTAGATATATATATATATATATATATATATATATATATATATATATATATATATATTTCTGAGCAGCCCTCCTTCCTCTCTACCTCTGAAACATCACGTGACCACACAGACACAGACGCACACACAGCCATATGAGCTTGAGACAGCAGGTCCAGGCAGTCAGAGGGCTGCTTAAATCTTTCACTCACTTGTACTTTGTCAATTTAGCATTTTACTTTGTCATGTTGGCTGGTTCCTGTTGGTTGTGCGTCTTTTTTACCGACGCCATTATAACAACACAGATCACTGCCTATTCACGAGTCCCGCAGAAAAAGTGATTGACAGGTGGTAATTATGTGTGTATCTTGCCTTTATTTATTTACTGTATGATTTGTTTATCGGTAAAACAAAGACCATGCAGGTCAGGTAGTTTAAACAGTAGGCTACAAATAATTAATTGGTCATTAATTAATTATTCATAATCGAAAATCGAATCAAATCGTGCCTTTAGAATCGAAAATGTAACCGAATCGAGGATTTGGAGGATCGTGACACCCTTAATATATATATATATATATTTTATCTTTTGTATTAAAATAGGCCTGCAAGTATACAAAATTAAGCAATGACATAATATGAACTTCAATATGAAGTTTAAACAGGCTGCAAAACTTCCTAAATTAGTGTCTTATAAAAAATACTTTAAATAGGGGTTTACCTCTAAAAGGGTTGTTTAGAACTGTCTTTAAACTGTTGTTTAGCTGACCATAAAACAAATAAGACCATAAAATCCCTAATGATATAATAACTTTAATATCTATGCTTCAAATATCCAAAATAGCTTATTGTGGTCTTCTGAGTTCCTGAAGGATAGCATCATTACATTTATATATACGTGTGTGTGTTTGTGTGTGTGTATGTATATATATATATATATATATATATATATAATTTTTTTTTTCACAGTTTTTCCGCAGATGACCATTTTCATGCTAGTGAAGCATTCAGTTTTTCCTTACAAAATCCACCATGTAAATAGTGAATACACCATGATTCAACACAGCTGACTGTGAAAGGAAACAGGAGATAAGACTAATGCACTTTGCGCCCAAAACACTCCCATCACACATTAAGAGAATAAGGACAACCCTTTTAGACAATGCGCTGAGCACACAGACTATTTTTCCTACCCTTAAAATAACAAAAGTGGATTAAATATGTGGCAAATATGTGTTTGTTGGGATGTTTGTTACCTTGCACCCACTGACTGACAGTGGTGATGGTGAAATGCTCTCCATAACCTGAGTGAAACACCTGAGAGCTCCGGGCCTCAGACGAAGCCTTGGTTCCTGAACACACAAACAAAAAAGCCTTCAGGATATTTCTGTTTGCTTTCCATCGTTGAGCAAACAAGAGGGCAAAGGAGACTCACCCTGATAGACGGCATGATCCTCCACTGCTGAGGACGCGTCTCCTTTGACTGTAATGAAACTCCACGGATGCCTGAGGACAGAAATACAGAGAGAAAGAGGGAAAATCAGTCTGAGGAGCCACGAGTAAGTCATCTGTGCTGGACAAACATTTGACTTTCACTGCTGTAAATGATGTTGACTAAAGATGAGATTGGCAGATCTCAGAGAAGTAATTACTAGTGCTGTCAAAAAGTTAAATCGCGATTAATCAAATGCAAAATTAAAGTTTGGTACCACTTCATAATAACTACACAGTATAAATCATCTATTAAGCATTAGCAAATAGGGAACGCAGTATTTGTTAAGCATTAACTCACATTAATAGATGTTAGTATGCAGTTTGTAACTGCAGATACAAATGCTCTATTCTAGACTTAGGGTGCTTTCACACCTGTGAATCAATTCATTTGTTCCGAAACAGGGATTAAGGGTGCTTTCACATCTGTAGTTCGCTTCATTTGATCCGGATCAAGGGTAATAAATGATACATTGTTGCATCTTCTGCTGTCTTTGGGTCGTTTTCACACCACACTGCTGGCTTTGGTCCAAACCAGTTGAAACAAACCAAAATGCAGTCATCTGACAAAATCCACATCTCTCATTGGCCAGATGTTGTTAAACATATTTTCTAAACTGCTTATTGATTGGTCAGAATTCACGTGCGGGAAAATGCCAATGAACTCCCGCAGGTAAACAAAACCTTTAACTCTGGAGGGACGACTGCGCTGGCTGATTGTATCCCTGCTTTAGACAAACTATACATTACAAAAATTAAGCGCGGCCGCGGCTGGAAAACATCACTCGTCACTTCAGGAGGAGCCGTGAATTAATTTAGCTAAACTGCAACATGGTCATCTTGCGGAAATATTACCAACGATCCATCAGGTAATGTTTCCCCCCTCTCTCTCTCTCTGTGTGGGTAAAGCACTTTTCCTCCATATCCCATAATGCACAGCGCATCAGCCTACGGCAGCTGAATTAGTCCAAAACGCGCAGTACTTTTTGCGGTTGGACCTGTTTTAGTACGGATCATATTCTCACCACAAACGAACCGCTCCAGGGTTCGTTTGAAAGCGTACCGAGACCACCTCTTCAAGCAGGTCTTATTTGGTCCGCTTTTGGTGCGCACTCAAGTTCGATTGCTGCATTCTCACCTGCCCAAACAAACCGTACCAAAAGGGGAAACGAACTCTAGTGCGATTCAATCGAACTAAATAAGGCAGGTGTGAAAGCACCCTAAAATAGTTACATTGTTGCTCTTTTTTCTTGGTGCGGTTTACTTTCACACGGAAAAGTTTCTAAATGGACCAAAAGAGCTAAAACAGGTCATGTGTGAGTAAACTCTCCTCACATTGTTTAGAGTTTCACGATTTATTTTGCAGAGTCTCGCTCAGCTGTCACGGTTTAGTGGTGTTTGACAGGGTGCGTGTGACGAGTCTGCAGAGCTAGGAGGGATGCGTTGGGGAGGGGTGAGAAGGGTGCGCGATGTATTTGAGGACAGGGAGGGATCGTTTCCAGGATCCGGGAGTCTCTGTAAATTTGCCGGAGACTCCCAGAACTTCCAGGAGACTTGGGATGTCTGGACCTCCCGCCCTATTACATATCCATAATACACAGTGATATAGCCGGGCTCGGATAGTATCGCTTTCTCACTACAATCGATCCGCTCCAGAGTTCGTTTCAATCGAACCGAGACTACCTTATTCAGGCGATCTCGGACCGATTGTTTGGGCATGGATCTGAGCTCAATTACTGGGTTCACAAATGCCAAACGAACCGCGCTAACTGGGCAAACGAGACAGGTTCTGAAACAAAACTCTAGGCGTGAAAGCACCCTTTTAAGCACATTTAAAATGTGCTCAATAATTGTACTTTTGTGTAATGTCTGGGTTCACTTGAGGAAGGCACAGGATCGAAAGATTGTCAAATACGTAGATTTATTTACAATCACTTACAAAGAAAAACACAGGAAAGACATGGGGTAAAAACAACAAACAACAGAGACATCACAAAGAATGAGACATCACGAGACAAGACAATGAATGAACTAAATGAAGGGGTATAAATACACTGGAACAAAATGACTCTCTCATTATTGTCACGGTTGCAGGTTTGTGTGCTTTTCCGGAGTGTCTGCTTGGTCACGTGGGTTTGTTTTGTTTTTGTTGTCCACGTGTATTTGTTATAGTCACGTGCTATGACGGCACTCAGCTGGTTTGATTCGCTCGCCAGCTGAGGCTCATTACCGTGCCTTTATCTGGGTGACGTTTTCTAAGTTTCTTTGTCAGTTCATTGCGTGTGCTCATGTGTGTGTTTGTCTGTGCTCAGGACCGTGAGGAGAGACCACTGGACCCTGTTCGCCTGTCTGATCCCTGCCCTGTTTTCTCCTTGTCCTAGCACCACACTCATTCCTAGTCATTTTGACTGTGTCAAATGAACTAATTTTACTTGCACTTGGATCCTCTCCGAACACTATTTGACTGTGACAATTATATAGCACGTTAGTTCTGTTTTTGAATCTGCCACTACGCTAACACATAGGCATTTGTAGCTCCGCCCTCTTTTAAAAAAAAGAGCACAATCTCATTTGAATTTAAAGCGGCAGTCACTAAAACAACGCAATTAAGATCAAAACCTAAAACGGTCAGATTCAAAGAGTTATAAAAAATTATTTGTGTGATATTTTGAGCTGAAACTTCACACACACACACACTCTGAAGACATCAGATACTTATTTTAAATCTTGTAAAAAGTCACATAAAAGGCCCCCTTTAAAAGAATGCAAACTATAAATCTACATTATTACACCACTGCAATAAAGTGAGGCAGATCACATATGTTCAATAATTTTAGATTATATGAATTATGTTTTAAAAAGGCACTGCAGAGCATCATATACTGTAATGAAACACATCGAACCTTTCATAGACGTGATGTGTATCCAAGGTCTAAAGTGACCGGTGCTTTAATAATGAGGTCTAAGTCCAGAAAACTTGATGCAAGTATGCAAACTGAGCATACTTAACCTGCGCTCTGCTGTTGCTATGGATTTCTCCATTCACTGAGCGTCTGCCGTTGAGCACATTCAACTAATCACTGCTATTGAAAGTTTCTGCTGTAAGGGCCTCAGAATTTCTGAAAAACACTTTGCAAGAAGCCACTTAGTAGCAAATAAACCTGCCATTGTGTAACTGGCCATTTTCACATCTACAGGAACAAGCATGTAATTATGACGAATTTCCAGTTTCCAGATTCGAACGAGAATAAAATATTAAATCGATTGCTCTCGTTAGAAAGAAAATGTTCCAGATCATCAAAAAAAAAAAAATAATAATAAAGTCAACAAAAACGCAAGTAAATACATGATGCATTTTTGAAATTAAAGTTTTATTATTAAGGGAATCCAAAACTGCATAACTCAGTGTGCAAAAGTGTTAGCCCCCTAAACCTAATAACAGTTCATTTCAATGTTTTTTTAAGATTCTGCAACAGCAACTCAATTGGATTTAGGTCAGGACTTTGACTAGGCCACTCCAAAGTGTTCATTTTGTTTGTCTTTAGCCGTTCAGAAGCAATTTTGCTGAGGGTTTGTTTAATGTTAGAAATCAATTTAATATGTTTTATCCCTATATATATATATATGTGTGTGTGTGTGTGTGTGTGTGTGTGTGTGTGTGTGTGTGAGTGTGTGTGTGTGTGTGTGTGTGTGTGTGTGTGTGTTTGACACATTCAGTCTAAACTTATGGCAAAAAAGAAAGAAAATAACAAAAACTTAAAATTACACTTACTGTATAATAAAAAAAACAAAGGAATTTAACAAAAACCTGTTCGTTACATTACTTAAATACAAATAATGTGTATTTTACATAGCACAATTATCAGGAATGGCCATACACCCAAAGCGCTTCACCATCACAAGAGGGGGTCTCTCCACACCACCACCAATGTGCAGCATCCACTAGGATGATGTGACTGCAGCCACAATACAACGGCGCCAGTGTGCTCACCACACACCAGCTATTGGTGGAGTGGAGAGATAGTGATACAGCCAATTCAGTGGATGGGAATGATTGGAAGGCCATGATTCTAAGGGTCGATGGAGAGAATTTGGCCAGCACAATGTAAATAAAAAATATAATAAAATGAACCATGTTTATAAACTAAAAAAACAAAGGCAAACTCTTATTCAAAATGTAAAACATATTTAGGTTGAATGTATGAAACTATATTTTCCTACAGATATGTATTATCTTTAATATGTTATATTCATTCATCCATTTTCTTTTTGGCTTAGTCCCTTTATTAATCTGGGGTCACCACAGCGGAATGAACCGCCAGTACTTATCCAGTACTGAACTTATCCAGCATATGTTTTACACAGCGGATGCCCTTTCAGCTTCAACCCATCACTAGGAAACATCCATATACACTTATACACACAAATACACTACGGAAATTTAGCTTACCCAATTCAGGTATCAGAAACTCTAAACTTACAGGAATACGGAGACAAGATAGACAAACGACGCTGTGACAAACAGAGGTGAAATGGTTGTATAAATAGTCCAGGAAATTAACAGGAAACAGGAACAGCTGTGAGCCAATCAATGTACGTGGACCAGGTGTAATGCACGTGGTATGTATGAACTTGTAGTCTTTTGGGCGCTGTAGTCAATTCTCAGAGTCTGTGAACTACAGCGCCCTCCGGTGGTCACTGACCGTCATGACAATATCAGTAACACTAAAACAACATTGATCAACACTCCGTAATTGTTTAGCCATGCCTTTTTCATTTATTCAATTATATATTTTGCTTTAATTTACACCAAGCGGCAACAGCCCGCTCTCCCTCGTGAAGCCAATACAGAAGCCACTGAAACTGCAATTTATCGACTCGCCTTTAGGGACTGGCTCGAAGAACTCCAGATGTTCACTGACTGCAATGCTAAACTGGTTATTTTTACAGCCTAGTACAAAAGATGGTTTTGGTTCATATAGCTAATATTATCCTTCATGACAACTGTGAGGGGGTACATTTTTTTTATAACTCATCCATTTCATTTTTATTAAGTTATATTAAGTCTGCATAATTAAGGGCGTTGACAGCTAGGTCTCGCTAG